ATGTCTTTTTCCTTTCCTTTGGTCCAGGATGTGAAATTTCTACATTGGCTGGTGGCGACGAAGTCATCGTTGGAATATTGGTGAATGGGAGACCGTAGCTGGCTGGTGCTTCCCGCACGCAAGGGGAAGGAAACGTTCTTTGGTGCAAATAATATTACATGTTAATAGGTTCATTGTTTTGTAGTTGGATTTATATAATCCCAATACCAAGGCCTTGCTCATCTAATACTTAAATTATGTAATTTGTATTGTACTAACATTTTTCATAATATATCATAAATTTCTTGTTTTGAAAAAGACTTCATACGTGATTTCTTGTGTCCGGGTTTTTCTTTCTTTCTTTCTTTTTTGTATATTTATGATAAAAGGTTTTCCCTAGTCAATTTTTATCTATAAAATATCATGATTCTTTTGACATGTAAGGGCAGTTCAAAAAACAAAAGTGCACCCACAAACCAATGTTCTTCAATGAAATACAATCACGAAATATGGTACAAAGGCACCCATGTTCTCAAGGCACCAAAATAAGACGCCAGGACAGGCATCCTAATTACATTGAGGCAAGTTCTGTCTCTGCGCAGCGTTCACTTCCTCGTGGCTTTATTATTGATTTTAGACACAGAATTTTTACAACACAGGCAGCACACCATAGAGATAATTAAGTTCTTTTAAGGTTTCTCCTATTCACAAAGGCAACAGATTATAATACATTGAATCCTGTCTATGCTGGAACAGCTTCAGGAACCCTGCCATTGCCAGCAGGTATCATGGTGTCGTAGTATTCAACTAGCACTTTCCAGCCCCCAGGGCACATGAATCCATCCGGAGGATTTTCTTTGTTCTTGGCAAGGGTTCGCATCTGTAGAATGCATGCAAGCCTTGTTAGATGTGACTATTAGGTAAGACATTATCTACAGAAAAAGAAAGCAATAAATCCTTGGCTTTCAACTGTTTCAATTACATTAATATGAAGAAAAGATACCTTGGTGCCAGATATAAAGAGGAAGTCCTGGGCCCTTGAGGGATCAAAGAATGCCATTTTACCCTGAGTCTTATCATATGCAGCAACCTGGATATAAACACCATTTATGATGATCAGATATTTAACATGTTTGGTCCACAAATGCAACAGCACAGTTTCAGAAAAGAATCATACTACATGTACCTTGAAAGGAAGTATGTTTAGCCGCTCAAGTCCTGGAGCCATACTAACTACCTTCTTTCCATGATCAGCATCATACAAGTCTCTTTTCTCAACAGGATGGCCCATGCCGGCAGGGTCTCTGCCAACAATGTAAAAGTTAGCACCAGCATTTATCCGAGCTTTTGCATGCCACTGCACTTCAGTAGGGCCAGCATAATGCATAGGAGATGGGAATATAGAGACTACTGTTGTTTCTGGATCAAGAACGCCATCCTCAAGCACCTGATAAAATATTACCAAACTGAATTATCGTTGGCCTTAACATAGGCTTTTATATAAAAGAAAAAGATTTATAAAGTGATTATGGAGGCAGACAAAATAATTTGGTGTCAATTTAATTATCCATTAGAGATGCACAGTACTCAGTTTCATGTAGAAACAAAGGTGATTCAGATTTTGGCTCTGCAGGGCTATCCAATGTAAAATAAGCAACATAAACAAATTTATCAATGGTTACAAGATAAAGGATTGACAAACTGTATAAATACCTTCTCATGTTGTTTCATTCGCCAACTGAGAGGAACATCATCTGCTTTTGTGTAGCCTCCCAGTGGATGGAGCAAGAGGACAGGGTTCTTGTAGCCCATCTCAAGAAGCCTACAACGAGTATCAGTCATCAGCAAAGCATGACCATTATGTACAGGATTCCTAAGCTGGAAAGCAAAAACAGCATCAGCATTGCGCCTCGTGAATTCTTCATGAAGTTGTGCAGGTGACAGCCGAAAACGATCAAGACCATCATGGTACTTGATTGGTTCTATAACCTCCAAGTCACCTCCAATCAACCAGTTTCCAGCATTGGTTATAGCTTCTTCAACATAAGGTAGCCCAGGGGCTGTAGTTCCCCACGTTCTGGCTATCCGTTCTTCTTTGGGGTGCTTGTATATCTCAATACTGAAATAACCAAAAAAAAAAAAAGGAATTAGACATGAGGAAAAACAAAAAGAAAACAAATAGGGATGAACTACATTGAAAAAGGTAATAATAGTTAATAAATACATGACGACGTCAAATAGACCTTATTGGTATCATTTTCATACATAAGATGCTTACAACGATGACAGTTGACAACTTGACATTATAGATTCATGTTATGTCACCACAGTCAAAATACAGCCACAAAGATGAAACCTTATAGGTGGCCAATTATAAGTAGAAAGCAAATAGAATGTCCAGTAAAAAAATAATAATCCTTCTGCATAGATGAATAATTAAAATTTGTCAAACAACACAGATTTGACTAACTGCTCCATTTATGCATTAATCAAATAACTTCAGTTAACAATTTAAAATGATGAAACAAATTCATAACTCGAATATTTGTCTAAATCAGTTAACAATTTAAAATGACGAAACAAATTCATAACTCGAATATTTGTCTAAATCAGTTAACAATTTAAAATGACGAAACAAATTCATAACTCGAATATTTGTCTAAATCAGTATGTAGCAAGTAAATAAACTAAATAGCATGAAATTCAAGGACATGGTTGAAATTAGATGGTCTAAAGTAGTCTATGCGCAACACAATTTTGAGAAAGGAAAATATTTAACACACAATTGCATGAATCCATTGGCATCTACTCATTGGATGACACATAGCTATTGTCAGATTCAGAGATAAAATTGTGTTTGTATCAGCTCTTAGAAATAAACATGTAGTAGTAAAAAAATGTTAAAATTTGATCATCCTAAGCTTCAAACAGTGAAAGTTGTCCAATTCCATGGGCTTAAAAAGACATAAGTTATATTAAAACTTAGAGTCAAGTTCCAGTGAAAGGAATAAAACAGCTCTGGCAGTCTAAAGATTAAAATAAAATAACCATAAAATTTCCATTTCCATGTTAAAAGCAAAGAGGAATCAGGCCCTGCTAACATAAACTACAAAGAGAAATTTTTATCCACTTAGAAGTTGAAACACAAATTAAGCAAAAGTTAAAATCAATATTGCTAATGATTAATGATTATAATCACTGTTAATCTTCTTACTCGCTGAGAATGGCAACCGGGTTGTCGTTGGAGTCAACGAGCGCGACCCTGGTGAAGTTACCGATGCTCTGCTTCTGCGAATCATCGATCGCCAGGACAATCGGCACCGACATGTTGACGACGGAGCCGTCTTCCAGTCGGAGCGAGTTGAAATGAAGAGTTTGGAGGAACTCGGATTCTTTCATGAATCCACGGAGCGGGCTGGCCCAGCCCTCGCTCAGCACGTGCACCCATTGCACGTCGATCTTCTTCAGCCTGATCCTGGGCAGCAACGCCGCCTCCCTTTTCTTGATGTCCCGTTTGGACTCCTCCACAAGGAGCTCCACCAGCTTGCCGCCATCCGGCTCAATCAAAGCAGCCCTTACGAGGACCCGGACCCCTGTTTGGCGGATCCTGGGCTTGAAACTCAGAGAAGCCGGCAATGTGGGGATGGAGACGAAATGGGTACGCGGGGAACCGTTGAAGGAGGGAGAGGAGAGTGGGATTTTGGTAAAAAGGGTAATCATTGACGCCATTGAAGAAAGAGAACCAAGAAGTTTGGTTCTTCCTCTTCTGCTTCGCTGTCTCGAGGATGGTTTGGAAATATAGATTATTGGAGGGCTTAATTCAATAATTAGACAATTGTATAATTTTATTTTAATTTAGGAAGTTAATCTTTTTTAATAATTTATAAATTTTGTAAAATATTTTAAA